CCCCCCATTCCTTAACACTTTTCTTTCTTTTTATGAATGAACATATTTTATCCATTTAACTACCCACTTTTAAATGGGTAATATGAGTATTATTCGTTTTAACCCATTTTAAATGAGTTGAGTACCCAACTCATTTAAATTGGGTAAATATGAGTGGATACTCATATAAATTACCCATTATGTTACCCCTACTCATGTGAGAAAAAGATAGTTAGTTATACAAAAATTGTTTGGATGTAAATTACCAAATTCGGGTTTTTCTACTTTGAACTCAGTTATTTTTTTAAGATATTCTAAGTTGAATTCCATTAGATTGTATTCACTACTTCCGCTTGGTTAGAGTTATTCCAGCATGCTTGTGATATGCCAAATTCAGGGTTAGCTTGGGGTTACTTTTGACCCTAGGTCCCATGTTACGTCTAGGGGCTAGCCTCGGGGCGTGGCAAACTTGGTATCAGAGCATCAGGTTCAAGAGTCCTAGGGTGTCTAAAATTCGTACTAAGTTGAGTCTCTTTCATGGCTATGAAGCGTGCCAAACCTATAAGGGGGAGGCTACGAGGTATTTTAAGAAAAACTTCACCTCTTTTGCTATCTTTATCGTGTGATGGAGTGTGATTCATTTTCTCCTTTCCAATCCGTTGTTATGCGTTTCAGATCATGCATCCTCGCAGAGCTAACACATGCAATGCTAACACAGTTTCTCCAGTCTCGGATCATGAGGTTACAAATGCAGAGTTTCATAATGTGATCCAGCTGTTGGCTTAGACCGTAGCTAACCAGGTTAACCAGTACATCCTAGTTACTGCAAACCCCACTAGTGGATGAGCTACAACCAGGGTTCGAGATTTTTTTCGTATGAATCCGCTAGAGTTTCTAGGGTCGAAGGTTGGTGAGGACCCACAAAATTTCATTGATGAGATCAAGAAGATTCTTGAGGTAATGCAAGTGACTGGTACTGATAGTGTTGAAGTAGCATCTTATCAACTCAAGGATATGGCTCATATTTGTTTCACGTCGTGGAAAGACAACATGGGTGTGAATGCAACTCTTGTGACGTGGGACTATTTTACTGGAGTTTTTCTAGACAAGTTCTTCCCGAGAGAGTTGAGGGAACTAGGGCCTGAGAATTTATAAACTTGAGGAAGGGGTCGATATCATTCCAGGAATACGGGCTAAAGTTCACTCAACTCTCCAGCATGCTCCACATATGGTGGCCGACCCGGGAGCACAAATCGGCAAGTTCTTGTTTAGAGTATCCCATCTAGTGAAAACCGAGTGCAAGAATGCTATGTTATTAGGGGTTATGGATATCTCCAGAATGACCCATACTCAGCAGGTTGAGGGAGATAAGCTCAAGGAAATGGCTAAAATGGGCAACTATGAACATTCTCAGCATAGGTCAGGCGGTGGAAATCGCTCATAGTTTCAGCAGAGGTCTACAGCCCCAACGCCTTCATCAGCTAGCGCTCTGTCCCCTAGGATTCGACATGATCAAAAAGGGAGGGCATCAGGCTCTAAGTCTCAGGGCAGTGCTTCAGGTAATCAGACTTTTCCATCTTGTCCAAAGTGTGGTAATAACCATCTGGGCAAGTGTCTTACTGGTAGAGAATGGTGATTTGGGTGCGGTTAACTTGGTCATAGGTCGAATGATTGCCCTTCTACCAGGCAGGGTCAACGAGAGGGAGGTAACAAAGCTCAGTCTATAACTTCAGCAGCTCCAGCGGGTTAACCCACTCAGTAGGGTGCCTCGTCTGGTACAAGTGATGGCTAGCGCTAGAACATGTTATATGTTTTTTGGGATAACAATGCAAATTAATAGATACATTGTTATTCCAAAAAGGTTCATGTCACCTTGGGAACACATATATGAATTTTAGTTTATGAATAAACTAAATGGACAGTCCACTATTCAATGGATTTTATAACACTCCCCCTTTGATGTCCATAGATAGTGTGCCTCGTTAAAACTTTACTAGGAAAAATTCTAGTGAAGAAAAAAGAGTACACATATCTTTTAATACACGTTATTTGTTGCCTCATTAAAAACCTTATCGGGAAAAACTCAGTGGGACAAAACCTCGGTCGAGGAAAAAGAGTGCAACACATATTATACTCCCCATAATTAAAACATGACTTAATTTCTTGTGATGATGTCATCCAATCTTATATACGAGCTTCTCAAATATTGATATTTATAGTGTCTTTGTGATTGCATCACATTCACGAAGATATTGTATTGTTGAACTCATCCTGATATATCATTTTCTGGTTTCATGGATATTATGAGGTTTAGAGCCTAGCCGGGTACATTCTTGAAAATCCTATATTCATGACCTCGTTGTTATAAGTAAATTACTCATTCAACTTGTTCATAACAACAATCATATTATGGACACTTTCATTTGCAGTTCTTGTCTTGTAGAATAACTTCATAATTGTCCTTGATGTCATATCAACGTCTTCTCGTTGGGGAGGAACGAAATCTTGTCAATAAAGTCACCAAAAAATATTTAATCACATATAACAAGGTTCAATAGTGTCTCAATGGACTAAAGACTGATATATGGAGTTTCCTCACTAAGAAGTTCTTCATCCTTCTCTTGAGGTCAAAATGGATCTCTATTTATGTTAAGCAATCTCATAATCATTGGGATACTCAATGAATGTGATTTATTCGTGTAAAATCACATCAAAACTTTTCTATGTATGTTGATTGATGGAGAAATATTTCATTTG